ATGTCTCTTAAATATGTATACTTAATTATTTTTATATTTTTCCCACAAGTCTTTAAATTTTAGTTTAAAACAAAGGCAAGAAGAAAAACTTACCCGTGCCTTTGTTTTTAACTAAACTTTAAACTTTAAGCTAAACTGAGGCAGCACACGCATGCGACACATCGAAATAAAAAAAAGACTTGTGGGACAAAACTATAAAAATATTTCAATTTAAACATTTAAGAGACAAATATATACGTAAAAGGGAAAACTGTATAAAATATATATTTTAAAAAACAGTCAAATTTGAATTGTGTTAAAATATATAATTTTATTGGAACCAAACTGGAAAAATATCAATTAAACGACAATTAAATTACAAAACATGAGGTGAAATTCTTTTTTAAATGAATTGGTGCATTTTAAGTGTATTTATTCATTTAGTGGTTCATTTATATATTTCTGCTTTTATTTATAATTATGTCAGTGTCGGTCCTTCATACTGCAGAACTTGGAAGATAAAACAATGACTGAATCAGGTGTCTTGGAGCAGGAAAAACCTAAAACATGTAGGGCTGCGGCCCTCGAGGACCAGGATCGCCCACCCCTGATCTATAGCATGAGAGCTGCGTGAAACGGCATTTACCTAGAGGAGCGTCTTTGTTTTTCCGACGCTTTCTTTCAGCTGGCGACTCCTCAGGACGCCCTCAGAGCACCAACCTTGGGTTTGCTGAGTTTTTTTTCACTTCGTAAATGTTGTAAACTTTCGTAAACAGCGTGAGGGTGATTGGCCTAAGAAAAACAATCGTGCTGGCTTGGTTAGAGGTGGGTAGCGATGTTAGGGCTTTAATTACGTAAATTTCATAAGCTTATAATGATTTCAAACAATATTATCGTTTATCAGAATAATTTCTGAGGCAATTTTATTTTCCAGCAAAATTTGAGAAGTATTGACCTGTCAGAATGCATCGCTCCGTTTAACACATATTTTTACACCACGCAGGAAGTGACTCCTCACTTATCGGCCTTCAAGCAGAGTCGCCTAGAAGAGCTCCAGAAAAAGCTGGCAGCAACGACGCAATCTTCCAAATCCCGCCACCGCCAAGCGCCGAAGGAGGAGGGAGACACTTCCAGCCTTGGGAAAGGCACCGCGGGTACGACCCGCGAGCAGATAATATCGGACATCGATGACATCGTTGCCTCTGAGTGCGCGTACTGCGGTGAACTGATGATCAAATCCATCGACAAGCCTTTCATTGATCCGCAGAAATTCGAACAAGAGAAATCCAGCTGGCTGTGAATAAACACTTCTGCTTTGAGCGTGAAAACAATGCAAAGTGTCTTTTTTTTTTTTCCAGAGAAAAGGGCATCATGTGTAGGACTAATATACTGTATTTAATGGAAACAGCCAATGATTGTTGGTTAGTGCCTGAAAATGTCAGCTGTTACGCTACAGAAATCTCCTTTATGTTGCTGTCAGTGTTTGAAGTTTATGGGATGAGCTTTGCACTTATAAGCTTATAATGTAAAGATGTCTAATATGTCCATCACTGTTTATTGTATACATGTGCCTGAATGTCTGCTAATACTGTAAATGTATCTGCACTATACCCATTTTATGTTAACTGCATTAGTGTAGGTACTTGTTGGCACCTTGATATTATAACATACTTATATGTCTGCAGGTTCAGTTAAGTCTGTACTCATTTAATTAAAAAAAGAGAAGCTGTTTTTACATAGTAAAGATTTTGCAAGTGACGCAAGAAAATAAAACTGGAGTTTTGGTGGAAGTCTTGATTTGTTTAAGGTGTCATAAATAATTAAAACATAATATGAAATGTGCAAATATAAAATTGTAATAAAATTTTTTGCATTTTTTTCCCACAAGTCAGATTCTTGACAAAGAAAAGGCACAATATGAACAAGAGCAGACTAAAAGGCCATTACAATGATGTGTTTAGATGTAAAATACAAAGATATTCTGGATGGTTTACTGTCTAACAGCTATTATTAGTTATATGTTTGAATAAATATGGTATTTGAAATGTTTGCACTTTAAATTTTACTTTAAAAATAAAGTTACCACAAACTTTAAAGCTGCTATGCCCAAAAACGGAGTTCCCTTGTTATGACGTCAGACGTACCTCGGTAACCTTCGCAGAATCCAGACTCTATCAATCAAAATCGGAAAATCATCGATGTGATTACATTTCACGTGCATGTACGACTCCAGATATTAAAATCGCGCTATTCCATCTCATTTGATCAGCATAAAATATTTTTGTGATTTTTCTGTCTCCGTGTTTTCCCCGGGAGACGCGGACAGACGCGCGTCCCTCTCTCTACGCTCGATTAAAATGGCTGCTCCTTTGCTGTAACCTCGCCATGGCGTCGTGTCTCTGCTGTCTCAGTAACAGAAAGTGGCCGCCTTTCTGCTGCTGCTGCCGACTCAAAGCTCACAGACTCGCCTGGTGCCTCGAACCGCCATTTTGGAGTCAGAGAACCGAGAGTCGGCAGCAGCGACGAGAGGGACTGAAAGGCGGACACGGGGCTGAGGTGAGACACTCCACGGCGGTTGTTATGGCGAAGGAGCAGTGGGGAAGATGGCCGGAGAGGAAGAAAGAATTAAAAGACGGGGATCATACGCTCGGAAAGGCTGCCGAGCCCTCCGCTCTAGCCCGCTTCTAGGCGCACGAGAGGCGCTTGCGGAGGGCCTCAGTGTCGTTGCGTGACCCCTGAAGCTAATAAATTGTAATTAAATTGATATATCTTAATACATTGTTTAGACGAGGAGGTGGTGGCCTTAAAGAGACAGAGTCTGTTGAATACATCTTATTTATGGCGTGAGGCGACAACTGAACGCCTTCGGATCTCACAAGCTAACTAGCTAGCCAGCTCTTCTGATWAGCCGCATTATATAAAGCTTTACCATAAGGTTTCCTCCTAATTAAATTTGACTGTTTAGGTAACCTATCATTAGTTTATTATAATCGAGGCGGTGTTGTTAACCAGCTGTAGATGTTTGCACAAACACCTTCACCCTTCAGTAGGCCAGGCCAGCTAACTGTTAGCTTTTAAGCTAAGTACATGAAGGTTAGGAAGCCCTGACATGTTTTGGATTAGCTAACTCGCTTATCATTTAATTACCAAATAATTAATAAATTGAATTATACTAAAGCACACGTTTGAGTTTCATCATTTTAAAACAAGTATAATTAAAAAAATAATTTTATCATTCTAAAATCCTTTCATAAAAAGTCAGCACATCTTTTCTTTAAAAAAACCTTAGTGCAACCTTCTGAAAGTATGTATGTATGTGTGTGTGTGTGTGTGTATA